ATAGGTCTCTTAGATTATATTTATGTAGACATGTTAAGTGTTCTAAAACTGTATAAAACTCCTAGAAACTTGATGTCCTAGTACGTTGTTATATGTTGGGAGTCAAAAATAACCAAATTTCCTTGTCAACTGCATCATAATGAACTCTAATACAGTTACTATTTTGCTCTGATGGTATTGCAAATGTGCCTTAAGTTCATAAAACTGATTTCTTACCATAAAACTGGTAAGAATTTCTGAACTAGTGGAAAAACTGGATTTAAGCAAAATATGGAACTGAAAATTTAAAATTATCCTTTTTAGTTCTTTGACTTTTTAAAACATTGCTGCCTTTCTAAAATGCTTTGTTTTTCCAGATTTTAAATTGTTTCTCTTAAGCTAACTGACTTAGAGCAATTTAACAAAATATACGTTTATCCTTTTCCCTACCTGAACTCTCCGGAATTCAGAAACTCTAGGTATTCTTATATTTATTTGCATAAGTTCAATACAATTCTGTTCTCCTTATAACAGGACACAATTGGAAACATTTGTTATGTAACCAAGGCTTTGACTGGAATGTCCTGTTTGAGAGAGAGATGCATAACCTCAGCTATGACCAGACAGCTTGAAGGAACTAGGTTGACTTTAAGAAGCCAGTAAAGTCCCCAAGAGTACCAGTTTGTTACCCTGCTTACAGAGTTCCCAGCTGCCTTACCAGATGAGTAAAGGTTCGCACTCCCTGGCAAATACAGGAACCTCAGGATACTTTGGAGACCTCGAGCAGAGAGGAATTCACCCAAATCTATAGGTATTGCAGCAGAAGTTCTGATGGCAAGTATCTGGCTTGGCTTCTGGCCTCAAGAGGCTGTTAAAACTTCAATCTTGAAAAAGTTCCAGCAGGTTTTAAAGAATCTACCTAATCAACTGCTATTCTTGCCACACTCAAACAAATTGGTATTCATTTGGCTATCTATAAAGGTTGATTATAGAGAAAATAGGTTTCAGTAACATTTGAGTACATAATAAACTGTAATACTGTTCATTAGAAACTGGACTAGATCTTGATTTCTTCTAATTTCCTCCAATGCTTGACTATAATTCTCCAAAGTAACGTTTTTTATTTTTCTTCCAACCTTCTACATTGGATTTATCCGAGAACTAAGAAGCCCTACAAACTAAACTTATGTAAACTTCAGAGAAATCACCACAACAGCTCTCATATAGGCAATCTTCATGCCTGTTGCTCTGTGGGCCACTCAAAAAGATCACCAGAGACATTCGAACTACAAACCAGGAAAATCAGTCAGACTGCCGCTGCGCACTAAAGATGGTTCAAGCTTAACATCTAAAAATCTTCTTGATTGACTACCCTCAAAATTCAGAAACTGGTTTATAATTTGATCCAATCAGTAACCAGTGTTTTTGTTTCCACAGAAATGCCTCTTATTTAATACCTGATTGCTTGAACCTTAGGCCTAACTTGCATCACTGCCTCCCGAAATGAGACTCAACTGACTTTTGGCCAGGACTGGTTCAATAAGACCAAACAATCGGCCAGCTCAATTTTAATGTGTGAAATTTCAGGTAAGTTTCAGAGGAGGAAACTGCAGGGGCCCAGGGCAGGACACCCCAAATGGGCCGCTTTGGCACGAACATTATTTTGAGTTAAAAGCAAACAAAACCCCACAAATTCAGGAAAAGCTCTTTACCTTCCCCCTCAATGGCCTAAATTTACATTGCAAGGGAGAGCCTGTACCAAGAAGTGACTGTTAACAAGAGATTCCGCTTTACCAAAGAAACTTACCTGCCTAAGAGGACAAACTTTATTCTCCAAACATTTCCTCTCACCTTCCTGTTAATGGTCTTTCTCCCCTTTGTATCCTCAGACTCCTACCCCTTCTCCTTAGCTCATAGAAGCCTCATGTTGCTGGTCTTCAGAATTTCATGTCTGTGTGGATTCCCCATACATATGAAATTAAATCTGATACTCTCCTCCTAATCTGTCTCATGTCAACTTGGTTCTTAGTCCAGCTAGAAGGACTTCGACAGACAGAGCAAATTCTTCTTTCCCGATATAGCGTCCTACATGGCTGGAAGAAATCCTACTTGATCTGTTATTTTACCACAGTATTAGATTCTACTATTAGCTAATATTTTATATCAGACTCTTTGGTCTAGAATAATATCTTTCCCTTTTTTATGGTATCTTTGTCAGCTTTTAGAACTGGAATTATTTTAGCCTCTCCTAATATGCATGTTTTTAAATAATTTCAAATTCCAGGGATCTTTCTCACCATCTTTCCTTTCTAAATGAAAACTAAGCTTGTCAATTAACATTCCAAAAAGCACACAAGTAATCCTTGCATTAAAGCATGTAAAATGTAATCACGACTCCATCTGTTTAATAAAGAAATGCACATCAACTAAAATTCATCACACTCTGGATGTCCAAAAAAAGTAGTACCCTTAATTGATAATAGTGGTAAACAAAGAATGACTCTACCATCTAGTTTTTTAAGCCAATCAGTAAGCTCTTTAACAAAATAAAAATCAAGTCTGAAAATTCAAAGGAAAGCCCTCTGAGAATGCAGGAAACCTGTTTCCAGCCAAGCCCGAGACCCCTCAGGATGGTCTGGGCTCCCTGAAGCTAAATCCCAATCACATCAAATTTCAGTGAGTCTATGCCAAGAAAAATATGACTTGGGAAGCAAGGCAAATGCCATTTACCACTTGTTTGTAGTACCAATCAACCACTTAAGCTATGTCATACAATCTCCTAGACAATCTCAAGAAAGTAAGGTTTCTCAATATTAAAGCATTCTGGGATAGGTAGTAAGTGAAATGCTACAGGGGACAATAAGAACCATGTTATATGACCAATGCAGGATGGGGGGGACACAGTGCAGAAGGAAGAACAAAGCCTGTAGAAACCAGTGGCTCTGGGTAGTCCAAAGATCATCTGGACTTAAGTTTTATTTAGGAAATATTGTTCAAATACATATCCATATTTATGTTAAGGAATGTTTGAAGAAATTATAAAATGAAGCCATATCCAGTTTAGATTATAGGGTTTGAGGCTAATTACTAATCTCTCACTGTTTTCCTAAATGATCAAATGTTTGTTTTATGATTAAGTTAGCTTGTACTCTCATGCCATCAATATAAAGAGAAAATAATCTGACATTTGATACCAAGTATACCGTGATATTTTCAAAACCTGTATTTCAAAACCATCTTTTTTGAGGGAAGAGGAATGGATGGGGCTTCCTTAAATTTCTCCTGTACTCCTGTTCAAAAGAGACCATCAACACTGTTGCAAAGGTGGGGAACTGAAAATATCTATAAAATGTTTTCATATATGGAGTTATTTTCCTGTCTTACAGTAGTCCAGTGTATTTGACAGCCACCCCTGAGGGATTTCAAGAAACTACCTGAGGAACGGGGCTACAGGCAAGACCTCTGCTACTCCTCTTTTAACAAGCCCAATGCTGCCCAATGCATCTGTGACACAGAATTCTGCCTGTCCCTCCCCCAACAGTTATATTTTTACTAGAATTTTTTTTTCCAAGAACAAGTGAGCAGCAGAATAATTTGATTCTAGGGCAGTACTGCCCGATAGAACTTTCTGCAATAATGGAAATGTTCTGCATCTGTGCTGTCCAATACAATAGCCACTAGTCACCTGTGGTTACTGATCACCTAAAATATGGTTAGCGAGGGGCGCCTGGGTGGCTCAGTTGGTTGGGCGACTGCCTTCGGCTCAGGTCATGATCCTGGAGTCCCGGGATCGAGTCCCGCATCGGGCTCCCTGCTCAGCAAGGAGCCTGCTTCTCCCTCTAACCCTCCCCCTCTCATATACTCTCTCTCTCTCTCATTCTCACTCTCTCAAATAAATAAATAAATCTTTAAAAAAAAATATGGTTAGTGAAACTAAGTGCATTTTTAATTTTAATTTACATTTTACCATCTGTGACTTCACCACAGTGGACAGTGCAGTTTTAGACCAATGAGAATCTCCTATAGGAAAAGACTGTGTGTGTGTGTGTGTGTGTGTGTGTGTGTGTGTGTGTGTGTGTGT